GGGCTGCAAACTTGTTCAACCCCTATGGAAAGCAGTGTGGAGAACTCTTAAAAAACTACAAATGAACCTACCATTTGACCCAGTTATACCACTCCTTGTCCTATGCCCAAAGAACTCGTCCTATTTCAGAGACACTTGTACATCCATGTTTGCTACTGCTCTTTTCACAATAGCTAAGAGATGGAAGCAACTTAAGTATCCCTCAATTGATGAGTGGATAATGAAAATGTGGTTCATTTATATGATGGAGTTTTACTCAGCAATAAAGATGAAATCATGAAATTTGCAGGTAAATGGATAGAACTAGAAACTGTTATACTAAGTGAAGTAACACAGACTCAGAAAAAAAAAATCGACATATGTTCTCCCTCATATGTGGATCCTAGGATCAGACTCTGATAAATAAGTATGTATCCAGACATAACTACAGGAACAAGGATAATGGAAAGGAAACAGGGAGGTAAAGGAAAAGAAAGAACCTGAAAGAGAAGAACAATAGGAAACAGGCCTTAATAAGGGAGATATGGATAAAAATTGGACTAGTTCAAGGGAGTTGGGGATGGAAGGGTATACAAGGAACCTAGGGGATAAGGGGAAAGAAGGAGCTCAAGAGAGGTAGGACCATAGGAGAAGGGTATTAGTAATGGAGAAAGAGGGGAAATGGGGCCATCTTAAGTAGGAAAACTATAGTGGAGGGGTGAGACAATGTGAGAGATAAATAATGCCTAGCTAGTTTTGAAAACCAGAGGGAACCATATTACTCCTACAACCTACTGACAAATTATACATAGCAGATCAAGAAATATATGTCTAGGTAAGGTTTATCTGAGAACAATTGGTCTTTGCCCAAGCTTTATCCACAGGACACACAGTAATTAAAAGTACCAGACTGGTGGAACTAACCTTGGATGTTTAACAGACATACTTTGAGGCCTATACTAATTTGGTCAGAGGGACATAAAGGACAGTTTTTGCTCCTTGCCCTCCTAGGTCGACTAGTTCCAGGGGACTATGAGCATCTCTCAAAATGTCCTGTAATGGTGGTGGGTCACCTGTCCTCTTGATCAAGGAGGCCAAAGAGACCCCACCAGATGGACTTGAACCAATGTCCAGTCTACAAAGAGGAGAGTCAACGTAGAGGAATCATGTCCTCCATGCTTCCAAGCGAAGCCAACTATGTTCGAGTAGGACCTTTGACTTATCTTCACATAGGTGGAACTAGTAAAACAAAGGAGCCAGGGTCTCCTCCCAAGCCCATGTGACCCCTGAGGAACAAATCCTTAAACGACCTTAAGAGTAAAAATAAATTGGTTTATCTGGGCCAACTGTATGGCCTTAAACATCCAAAAGGAAAGTATAACCAAAGATTAAAGGGGTCAATATAATTTATTAAGAGTCCATATGCATAGCTAAAGGCTACATAACAAACAACAATGCCAGATAGGAGATACCTTCTTTTGAGCTGTTGGCCAGGGTGA